ATAGATGGAAAAGAAAAGGTCCAAGACTGTATTTTCATAATCTCTCCCCAGTGTCTTATAGCGCACTACCCTGACTCTCCATATCAGACCCTGCCTACCATGCTGCTGTCAAATTTGACTTTAACTACATATCTGAGAGCTGTCCATTGCCCTAAGAATCACAACCAAAAATATACTGATTTCCTTTCATTTACATGTGCTTTTAGGTAATATGGTTCTTATAATAGAGCTAATGAGAGATGAGTAATTATATTTCACTTAAAATCTACTTAATGTTTTTATATAGGTAGATATTATATTTAGTATGTATTACAAGTGGCTGCTTTAATGACTCATATTGCTATTTAAAATTAATAAATTTTAAAAACACAAGCCAAGACTATTTTTAGGCTATAGTCTCAGTGCTCCAGAAATTTATACATTTTTCAAAGATATTAATAGCTATTTATATAGTTAATTTGGCAATGACTTATTAAAGAAATATATTTCTGTTCTTGGGTCATCCTGAAAGCACCAATTTTAATTACAGCATTAACCTTCAGACACATTTTCATCTCATTTATAATTAATAATTATATAGTACAGTAAAATATATAATCTTGGGAGCAAAGCCAAGTAAAATGAAAATGAAATGCTATCACTTGACTTAAAATCTTCCTAAGTCAGGAGCCTTGTTGGTTTGAGACAGGGGAATTGTGCCAGTGGGCAGGTGCAGCCTCCTGCCTGTACTTATAGCACTTACTGAAAGTGTTCCAGCTGGGTGAGGTGGCTCACACCTGTAATCCCAGCACTTTGGGAGGTTGAGGTAAGCAGATTATCTGAGGTCAGGAATTCAAGACTAGCCTGGCCAACATGGCAAAACCCCATCTTTACCCAAAATACAAAAATTAGCAAGGCATGGTGGTGTGTGCCTGGTCCCAGCTACTCAGGAGGCCGAGGCAGGAGAGTTGCTTGAACCCAGGAGATGGAGGTTGCAGTGAGCCAAGATCATGTCACTGCACTCCAACCTGGGTGACAGAGAGAGATTCCATCTCAAAAAAAAAAAAAAAAAAAAAGAAAAAAGAAAAAGAAAAAAGAAAATAAGTGTTCCTTACTTTCAGTGAGATTTTTGTTGTTGTTTTTGTTAGACTATGTTTTATTTCATGTCTGAGGATGAAATTACTGAAAAGACCCAATTCCTAATTTAGGGATATACAAATGCGGATATCAAACTGCATTAGTATTAACATTCAGAATGTTTTCAGATACTTTTACATAGTACACAAATATTATTTTGTAATAAATGTCATTCAAAATAGGTTCTGGTCACCTAAAAGAAATTTAAAAGAAACATTCTTTATTTACAGTATTTATATCATCTGTGTTTTCTAATGATAGACTCCAGGTACAGGCATTTAAAAAAAAAATGGATAAAATCTAAAGGTACAGGTTTATCTTGTCATGTAACTAAGCCTCAATTTAGTCTTTCATAAACTGGGGATTAAAATATCCATCTTAAAGGGTTGTCATGAGGATTAAATGAGCTCGTGAATGTGAAGCCATCATTTTAGTATATGACACATAGCAAGGGCATAAGAAATTGTAAATGTTACTTATTAATATTTTATTATTTTTTAAACTGAATTTACTACTATAATTTTTTTTCTAGAGAAAGTTTTTGCCCACTCACCCCCAACCTTTCCTATTTCCCTCATGGTTAGCTAATACCTGATGTTCCTTCTCAGCCTTTGGTAAAATGTGAATTTGACAAAGGTAGAGTTAGTCTCCCCTTCCAGCACATCTCATCCCTCGCCTAGCTCTGCCCCAATAGCTCTCAGCCAGCACCCCCAGTTGGTCATGGCCAGCTTCCACCACATCCCCTCAGATGTAGCAGATATTGATTTAAGTGGCTCCGTTAAGGCTGTTCAGAGTAGGCAAAACGAACAGGGCTAGGCCTCCTGAGATCTTGGTTCTTAACCAGCTTGTTGATTGCCTGTCTTTGACTGAGTTAACGCACTGCTTTTAGACTCCAAACCCAGCATCTGTGGGGTGTTTCTGTGTAGATCAAATTATAATGTAAATACAGACACTTTTGGGAAAGGCTGTACAGACAGTAGTTGTTATGAAACCTATTCATCTTTCAAAACTCAGCTCAAAGAATGCTGCCCCGATCCCCACTCTCCCATCCCAGGCGGAACTGGGTCATTTTCTTCCTTGGGCCCCCACTGTCCATACCTCTATTGAGGCTTCTATTTGTTTGCATTTCTGCCTCCACATATTAGATAGTCTTTGTTTTAGATTTATAAAACTTTTGTGATTTTTATACCCTAGAACACACAGAACCAACCATGACTCATATTTCAAAATTTGTATTGCTAATTGATATGCTATTATGTGTCATGTTCTGCTATGTTTCCAATAATCTCAAATTGTTCTTTTTTTCTGTTAAAACATTGAGGAAAAACATTTTCCTGTTAAAACATTGTTTCCTGTTAATACATTGAGGAGATGTAATAATTTCAAGACTGGGCCCAAGATCATGTTCTCTGAAGCTCTGAACACCCCCTGCCTAACACAGTATCTAATATTCAGCAGGAGCTTAAGAACAGTTGAATAAATAATTGAAAGAAAATTATTGAATAGGAGACTCAGGAAGATTAAGAATCTTCAAGCTGTAAATGTATCTCTAATGGTAAAGATTCAGATTCTATGACAGTAGGTGAGGAAATAATCTCAGATCTGCTGGCATTCCATAAATCACACCGTATAAGGCGTTTGGTCACTGACTCTTGTTGAAGTGCTTCTCCACACAATAAGGCATAAAACTTTTTCAGTATAGTTATTGATTCCAATGTAGACAAGAACTCTAAAAAACACCCTTTGTCATCATTATTCTATGATTGCAAGTCTCCTTTTTAAAAGATAGCAAAAAACAAAACAAAACAAAAAAACTGTTGCTGTTATAGAATTCTTTCTTAGATATACAGTCATCCCTCTGTGTATGTGGGGGATTGGTTCCAGAACCCCCACATATACCAAAATCTGGGTTTTCTCAAGAACCACCAACCCATATATACAAAAAGTCATCCCCTCCATATGCATGGGTTTCAAAACCCACGAATACTGTATTTTCTATTTGTGTTCAGTTGAAAAAAAATCCACATATAAGTGGACCTCTGCAGCTTAAAGTGGTATCGTTCAAGGACCAACTCTGCATGTTTTAACTATAGTGAACTTTGGTTTGTTATGACTTGTTATCATGAATTTATCCTATATATGAATTCAAATGAATCAAGCTCTTCCTGTGACTCCCTGCCGCATTTGCCCTATATTAAATAACACGAGTTCCAATCTTCTTTAAATTTTCATGATCTGGCTTCATAATAAAGCTTTATAGTTGGTTCTCACCGTTTGTATCACCCTGGGGAAGGAGAGAGAATTGGATGTTCATTTTGCACATTATTTTAACCTCAGCTAATGGAAACTTTCTCTAACTTCCTGTGTAGGTCAGCAATTTAAAGTTGGATTATCCACAGAAATCATATTTCATTGTGGATTCATCCTAGAGGCTCTAAACTGGGAAAGGAATAGACTGGGAGGGGGGGTCTCAGTGAGGGTGTGTGAGGACCCCTGCTGCTGCTTCTCTGGAGGTTAAGGGGATTTATTACACTCAGTCCTACATGTTTCAAGTGCAGAAAGAACTGTGTAAGTCCTAAATGTTAGTGGTGGAGGACATCTTAGGCATGAAATATTCTTTCTTATTGCCAATGAAGAAATTGAAGTTTTTGGTTGTTTCCTTTCTTTGCTTTCAGAGAGTAGTCTGTCTGTGGCAACTGTTTTGAGAATCTTGTTTTCCACATTGTGATCTCTGATTAAATCTCATTCACTGTAGACATGATTTATATATCACAAATTTCCTTTCCCTCACATAAGAGATGCTTGTCTAGGCAGAGTATGCAGAAGTCTCACACTAACCTCCCACGGATGGCAGCCCTCCCTCCAGGGTGCTCGCTTTCAGTGCTCTCTCTTCACCTCTGACTAGTTTATCACACTTACCATGTGTCTCCTGGCATTTGGTTGAGTCGAATTCTATCTCCCTTATTAGCTAAGTGTCTCTGCTGACGAGTCGTTGCTCACTTGTGCGTCCTACTCACAGGTAAGCTGTATTAAGGTGTATTACCAATAAGTGTGAAGTCTTCCAGTTTGCCTGATTCCTACTTTTTTTTTTAATACATAAGAATGAATTCAAGGTTATCCCTATAACAATGTCGCTCTCATTCCCTTATATTGATTGCACTGGGAATGACCCTGAGTGTGTCCATGGGAATGTATTAGGAATAGGAATGTCATCTGTCATGTGTTGCAAGGAAGAAGTAAAAAAAAAAAAAGGTTGAAAAGCACAGTGTTAGAGAATAAACTCTTGGATAAAAATGTCTGTGTCTAACTCATTTTTTACCCACACAGGGCCTAGCACTAAGACTCACACATAGTAGGGACTCAATAAATGTTTTGAGAATGAACTAATGAATGCAACCCAATAGGTAAATACATTCCAGAGACATTATTCTGAAGAAGAAAAAAGAAAATACCACATTTTGGGGTTGTTTTAGCATCATGTTTCAAAAAAGTGAATTTTCTTCTTGAAAAAGACTTTCTATAGGCAGAAATTGAGTTGCACATTGCTTACTGACAGCCCGTACCACTGTCCAGACCCATTAGACACAAGAGTCACTTTCATAATCCACCATTGCAACATGCCTTATGTTTTTTCACCTAGGTGGTTCTGGTAAATTGTCATCACAAGTTATTACCCTTAAGTCTAACATATTCTGAAGGAATAGGTGGCTGATACTGTCATTTGAGGACTAAGAAATATTTGTCTAGACATTTGATCCAATCTGTATTTTTATTTAATGTGTAATTGGCGAGAAAATAGCAAAGACAAATTTAAATGCTTGCATCTCTAACCTTGTCACAGTGTCTGAGCATTCATTCATCATCATTATCTTGGATTCCTGCAGCCAGCAGACTTCATAGGAAAGCAAGCACTGAAACAGATTAAAGCCAAGGGGCTGAAACGAAGACTGGTCTGCCTCACCTTGGCAACGGATGATGTTGATCCAGAGGGAAATGAAAGCATCTGGCACAATGGCAAGGTGAGTGCTGAGGACCTCACTGCCAGGGGCTGTGGCATCTTCTGCAACAGAAACCCCCCTTGTTCCTATTTTCTCTTAAACCCTTTTGCTATTAATTATTTATTGGAGGGATGACACACTTTTGATTTCTGAGCTGACATTCAACAGACAGAACGCAATTAACTGAAAGGAAAATGAAATGTTGCTCATTTTTGAAAACATAAAATTCTATATATTCTGTTTAAAGAAAACAAACCCAAGGACTTGAAATACATTGGACAATGAGGAGGGTATGATTTAGAGGGTAAATGATCTATTTGCTCATCACATCCATGTCTGTAAATGCAAAAGATAGATTTTATAAAAAATTTGGCATTCTGATTTAACTTTTTATGGATCTTTCAGAAGGAGGCAATTAGCATATTAACAGGGAAAAAATCCAAATGAAAACATCTATGACAATAGAGGGTAGAACCTTAGAAAGTAAACCAAAAAGTGGAAACCATTTGGTTCTTCAGGAAGAGTAAAATCACCTTCTCATTTTGGAATGTTACTTTTCATTCTTTCTATTTGTATTCAGTAAAACCAGGGTAAGTCAGATAACGTATCAATGGGACTTTGTTTTCTCCAGTTTTTCTCCCAAGCTTTCTGCATTCAGTTACTTTCTCCATTTTTTTATTACTATTTGTAAAACCCAATTTTGTTGAAACTGAGTGTGGGTGTGTTTTTCCTGGTGTTAGCAGGCACGTGTGGGACACCCAGCTTAGACCATGGGGAGGGAATAGAACCTTCAAAGCTCATCCAAACAACTGTTCCACAATGAACAGGGTCAGCTTGGTCATTACCCAAGACTCAGAGCTTCTGTGCCTGGGTTTTTTTCTTATTTACTGCAGCCTACTTGATATTTGTTTCCATTTTCTCTGTCTCATCAGTAACACAAAGAGTGCTAGAAGTGGAGAAAGCCAGTGGTGTCAAATCACAGCCTTTGGTGCTAAAGCATGGGTCAATTTAACACAGAACTAACAACTACTGAGTTCTTACTGTATACCAGGTATTTTTCATGTTCTCTCCCATTTAACTTTACAGCACGCCTCTCAGATATGTATGATCATTTCCATTTTAAGGATGAGGTTTTGAGGGGCTCAGAAGTAACTTGCTTGAGGTTACATGGCTGGCTGGTGATTGATAGAACCGATCTCCAACTCAGGTCTAGTTTCCAGCTTTGAATTTCTGGTCCTTTCTTCTAAGACATAAAAGAGATCAATTTGATCTCTCTTCTGTCTCTGCTGATGTCCCCCTGTAGTTTCTTAAGAATTTAATTAATTAATTAATTTATTTATTTATTTTGAGACAGAGCCTTACTCTGTTGCCCAGGCTGAAGTGCAGCGGCATGATCTTGTTTCACTGCAACCTCCGCTTCCCGGGTTCAAGTGATTCTCCTGCCTCAGCCTCCCAAGTAGTTGGGATTACAGGTGCATGCCACCATGCTCGGCTAATTTTTGTATTTTTTAGTAAAGATGGGGTTTCTCCACGTTGGCCACGCTGGTCTTGATCACCAGCCAGGTCATACATCCACTTTGGTTTCCCAAAGTGCTGGGATTACAGGCGTGAGCCACTGCCCCCGGCCTTAAGAATTTAATTCTATACCCACATTCTTGTGCATCTGAGTATCAGGTGAATGTTATTAGAGTCTGTGACGCCAACTGACTTTTCTCAGATCTCAAGTGCTTTCACCTGTCTGTAAACCTGGATGGGCCAACCTCTACTTCCTTCTTAAATTGGGCTGAGTTTGCTCTTCTATTTGAACTGTTCCTACCTTTCTCCCTGTCTCTTCTTTCTCTTTCTGTTCTGTATCTCTGGTTCAGCCCTCTTTTCTTAATATGTATTCTTCCCCATTTCATATTTGCCCACAATTCACGTGATTTCTACTTATAACCAGCTCTGCCATTAATTAACTATTTGACCTGATGTTGAGCTGATCTCTGGGCCTCAGTTTTCTCATCTGTAAAATGAAGCCATTGGATGAGATAACGTCTTGTCATTACATTTCCTCCCACCTCGTCTTTCCTTTGTTGTTTATTTTTCACTCTATTCCCAGTCAGTTTTCTCAGTACTGCTTAATACAGTCTACACTTACCCTTCCACCAACCTTCTGTTTTACTCAGCGTGGAATGAAAGAGATATTATGCTATATTTTTCTATTTTTCTGTATTCCCACGTCATCCACAGTCAACTGATTTTTAGCCACCTTAAATATGATGATACCAAAATTAGTTTTAAAACCCTGAAAACCCAAGCTCCAATCTAAAGTTTTTTCATCTGCCTATGCATATACTGCATTTACATGCTATATTGTTCACCTTTCCTTGCCATCTGCTTATAAAACTGCTAATCCAATTATAGGATTCTAGCTCTTGGATTTCCTAATATGAGTTTGCCTGCTCTTTGATGCTTAGTAAGGTCATCATTTTAACATGCAGATGGTCTTCTTTTTTGATCCTTTTTCAGAGGCCCTTCTTGGATCGTCTTTACTCTGGACTGCTTTGAAATAATTTTTGCTTTTTATTTTCAGACTTGGTCTTGACTTGTGTTGCTTTTAGTATTTTATTCTTGCAAGCATTTCCAGTGCTAGAGATAGGGTACAAATGTATTTGTTTGTTGACTTTTTCTTTTTTTTTTTTAGTGTCTACTATATGCCAGCAATATTCTAGGTACTGGGGATATAGCAGTGAACAAAACACGAGGATCTCTGACCTCATGGAGTTTACATTCCAGAGGAATGGAAGGAGGGAGAGATGAACAGTGGACAAAATAAATAAAGTATATTGCATGTCAGATGGTCTTTAGTGCCTTGGGGAAAGGTCAAGTCCAACTGGGAGCAGGGCAGTGCTGGAGAAAGGGATTCTAACCTTAAATGAGGTTTAATTTTTTTAAAATCAAGGCATAAAGATGGTCATGAGAAAGGCTTTCTTTATATTGGGTGACTCAGTTTTAAAAGATGCTTATCTTGGAAGGAAGTTTTGAAAAAGAGGTTTGTGGAGAGGTTTGGAGAGCTTAGAAGGTTTTTAAAATTATTATTTGTAAATTAAAACATACAGGGACAGTCAAAGAAAAACACAATAGAACATCAAACTTAAATTATGTTAAATTCCTTCAATGGCCATTTGCTATGTTACCTTCTGGAAGTCAGATAGAGACTTCTCATAATTTGAGAGAAAAATGAGAAAAGGCTAAAAATAGATGAGAATTATTCACATTGGTAAAAAGAAGGTCAATGTTTGTTTTAACAAAGAATGAGAATTTACCAGGCAGAGGGTGGGGACCGATTGTTCTCACAGTTCACTGAACTAAAAGATGGAATGGATCTAATTGAACCTGGAAGATTTTAGGCAAAACTGTTTAAAATTTATGCAAGGGAAAACATTTCCCTGGAGATTTAGTAATAGGGTACAAGGAAAGGCCAGACTTCTGAAATACCCTGGGCTTCTAACCCCTGGATTAGAGAGAAATTCAAGTAGAAATGAAAGTAAATTCTAGCAGAAAGCAAAGCAAACTTTAAAAATAGCACTCGTAAGTAAGTACTCTCTTTTTTCAGTTTACTAATGCAGAATGGCTGCAAGACGAATCACTGCTGGGATGTTAGGAGATGAGAAGGGCTGAGGAAACGGTGCATGTAGTCTCCTAAGAGTGATTGTGGGCTTTTGACCCAGTGAGTCAGGGGATCACAGCCTGAGACCAGCGCAGGTCTCTTCCTGTTTTCTGAAGACGCTCAAGCAAACCAGATTAACTCTCCTAGGGCTCCAAACCCAAATCTCTCTCTTACAGGTGGGGAAATGAAACCAAGGTTACCAAGAAAGTCTTTCAAAAAGCAATGATTAAGCCAGGCATGATAGCTCATGCCAGTAATCCCAGCACTTTGGGAGGCCAAGGCAGGCTGATCACTTGAGTTCAGGAGTTCGAGACCAGCCTGGCCAACATGGTGAAACCCCGTCTCTACTAAAAATATAAAAATTAGCCAGGTATGGTGATGCACACCTGTAGTCCCAGCTACTCAGGAAGCTGAGGCAGGAGAATCACTTGAACCCAGGAGGCGGAAGTTGCAGAGAGCCGAGATTGCACCTCTGCACTCCAGCTGGGGCAACAGAGCAAGACTCCATCTCAAAAAACAAACAAAAACAAAAGCAATGATTGGGTGCAGCCACAGAGCTGCTCCCAGGTTCCACATGGCTGAGGGGGACGCAGGGGTGACCAAAGGCAGGATGAAGAAAGTGAAGTAATGGCAGCCATCGATGGCGAGGAATGGTGTGTCATTGATAACTGTGCCAAAATACTTTGTGTTAGAATTAGTGACGATATAGATGACCCCAAATGGACACTTTGCTTGCAAGTGATGCTGCCAAATGAGTACCCAGGTACAGCTCCGCCTCTCTATCAGTTGAATGCTCACTGGCTTAAAGGGCAAGAACTTGTGCATTTATTGAATAACCTTGAGGAAATACATACGTGGCCACCCCATTTGGTTCAGAAAGAGTACCTGCTTTGTGTTCCTGGGATCCAGGCTATGTTTCTTTTCCTCCCAAAATATTTAATGAGAAAATGACAGAATATTGGTGAAAGTATTCTTTACCTGTGAGTGGAGAAAATAAGAGATGTTCCAATACAAAATCTCAGATGACAGAATCACGCCCAGATGTAAAGAAAGAAACTGCAGAGAAAGATGTTGAATGTGAAGATGGTCTCATTTTTGCATATCAGCCAGAAAGCTCGGTAAAAGCACTGGATTTTGATATCAGTGAAAATCAAAGAGAAATAGAATTCTCTCCGATTGATCATGGCATTTCTGTTACAGACCAAATAAGTACTTTTCAGGCAGACTTGTCTCCAGTACTTTGTCCCAAACAGGTGAAAATGGTTCTTTCCAACTTGTATGAGAATAAGAAAATAGCTAGTACCACCCACAGCATCTATGCCTGAAGAATATATTGTGAGGACAAACAGACCTTCTTACAGGGTTGTGAGGGTGATGGGGAAACAGCAGCTGGTGGACATCTTCTTCATCTCATGGAGATTTTAAATGTGAGGAATATCTTGGTGGTGGTATCACGCTGGTATGGAGGCATTCTGTAGGACCAGATCACTTTAAACATAACTGTGCCAGAAACATACTAGTGGAGAAGAACAACACACATTCACCTGAAAATCATCTAAGGCTTTGGGAAAAAAACAAAAAATGTTCATCACTGAGTAATGGATTAAGTGAAAATCCAGGAGTTTCCACCTGCAGTTGTGGGCTGAGGTGACAATTCTTCCAACATATTTGTTAGCATAAATATTATGCCTCAATTTCTGTTGCAAATTGGTGATTGTGAAATTTCCAAAAGTGATTTTCTTGTCTCTGTTTCTTTGTTTAATTCTTATAATATAAAGCAATAAATATGGAGAGTCAGTAGTCTTCTTCCACACCAGGAAAAAAAAAAAAAAACAGCAATGATTGAAACTCTAACCTCTCTGACCCTAATCCCTGCCTGTATCACTGAACTATGATCTAAAGGAGAACAGCAATTTTAAAGCATGTGTTATAACTTGGCAGTTAACAATCAGCCAGAGAGAAACTTTTACTAATGAATGTATTCACATTTTTTTTTTCAATCAACCAGTTTTCACAGTAAGTTTAGAAATCATATGGAGAGCTTCTGATTTGGGGTTTCAAAGAGAATTAAAAACTGGGACTACAGAGATAGGAGTCTGCAATTAAAGTCATGAATGTGTTAGCATCTAAAATACTAGAAGTGCTATAGTAAGATTGTTGACTGTAGCGTGCTCTTTGCTGAGGCAGCTGAATGATCACCAGGCTGATTCCCGTCCGTGAATGTCTTGAGCTCCAGCTATAAACAGTCCCCTGAGCCAGATGGTAAGACTTTAAGGATTAGTGCAATGTAGTGTGGCCAGGAGAAGCCATTTTGAGCGGGGCTATGTATCATGTTTTACTTTTGTTGTCTTCCTTTTCTTTTTGTTCCATGTAATGTTTTGACGACAGTTTTCTGTATTTTCTGCTTTTCCTTCTTTTTCATTCTTTCCTTTAGACCTGATTTCCAATAACCTTCTTATCTTTTAATCAAACTTGTTATATAGACTTTTTTTTGGAGACAGTCTCACTCTGTCATCCAGGCTGGAGTGCAGTGGCCAGATCTCAGCTCACTGCAATCTCCGCCTCCCAGGTTCAAGCAATTCTCATGCTTCAGCCTTCTGAGTGTGCCTCAGAGAGTGTAGGTGCCTGCCACCACGCCCAGCTAATTTTTGTATTTTTAGTAGAGACAAGGTTTCACCATTTTGGCCAGGCTGGTCTTTAACTCGTGACCTAAAATGATCCGCCTGCCTTGGCATCCCCAAGTGCTGGGATTACAGGCACGAGCCACCACTCCTGGCCTAAACTAAGTATTACTGTTTTAAAAATGAGAAATTTCAGAGTAATACAGATGTGTACCTTGAGAATTACTTTTCATAATTTGTAAGCTTTCATTCATCTTCTCAAAATGTGAAGTTTTCCTCCTGTGTCTCTGGCATCGTGTCCCCAGACAGCATTTCAGAAAACTTCCATTTTCTAAGTTGAATCTGTATTTCAGGGTTTTTTTTCACCCAGAGATGAGGAGCACAGAGCTGTGACCGAGACACTGAGGACTGTTGGGTCTTGTTTTTCAGGTGGTTGGCAACACGACATCTGGAAGCTATAGCTACAGCATCCAGAAGAGTCTGGCGTTCGCATATGTCCCTGTGGAACTAAGTGAAGTGGGACAGCAAGTGGAAGTTGAACTATTAGGCAAAAATTACCCAGCAGTCGTCATACAACAACCTTTGGTATTGACCGAACCAACCAGAAACCGGCTTCAGAAAAAAGGTGGAAAGGACAAAACTTGAAAAAAGACCTTTAGCAGTCAACTGAATTGGAGTTGCTAATGACTGTCCTTGAAATTATCATAATTGGTTCCCAGGGGAATAGAGGAAACCAGGAATTCATTTCAAAATCATCTAAGTCTAGATTTAGAATCTTAACGAAACCTTTCTGTTAAGTGTTTTCTAAGCAAGACAGAATAATAGATAAATGATTTACATTTTTCTTTTAAATGAAGAAATTTGAAATGAATGTTTTTTTTATTACCCCACATTACCCAGTCGGCAAAACATTTAGGTGTTTGCTAATACATGCAATCATTACTATAAACGAATTAAAGGACATTTTATAATTTTAGTAACAAATGCATTCGGTTCTTGATAGCTGAAAACAAATTAATAAATTATCTTTTACGTGAAAACATGTATAATATTGTTGATGGATTTACTTCATAGAGAAATCTTTCCTTAGATGAATAAATGATAGTTTTAATTTTTCATGATATAGCTGTAATGAAAATAGTAAATTTTAACATTGACATATAGCCAACATTTTAATTCAAGTCTCTGAAATATTTATCATTTTCTTAATGACTTCCCTGAAAGGAGCTTTATAGGACATTATTATTCTCCTTTCAAAGGTTGTTTTAGAAGAGAAGTTGCAAGAAAGAACAGAGTCTTCCAAAGGAAGCGGTACTTGTAAACTTTCAGAAATGAAGCTGAAACATAAATAGATTCTGCCAGTACAAACACAGTTTGAATACTGAACACCTCTCTTTGGGAAAGAATTAATGCAAGTTGACATCACATGGTGCTGTTCTGAATATCATTTCACAAAGCATTTGACAAAGCAGGTCAAACAAAAGCTTAAGAGCTGACAGTTAGTGCTATGTACAGCAAGAAAAAAAATCAATTTAGAAATAATTCTTTGATATACTTTTTGAAATTATTTGGGTGTAGTTGATGGAATAAATCAATTTATTTTGTAAAGGGTGGTTTATCATTTATAATTAATTTATACATGCATATATTTGTTACACATTTATAGATGTTTTCTTAAGTATTAAAAAAACTGAATATGAAGCATGGTAAGATTCTGTCATTTGAATAAACTTTAAAATGATTTCTTAACTTGTAAGTTTTGAAAAGGTGCCAATTTTACATTTTAAATGTTTTATAACAGTAGTTATATATTAGAACTCTTCACATGTTCATTTCTCTTTGGTATGTCCTCTTAGATGAGAAAAGAAGGAAATTCCTTTGGTAACAAACAAATTTCCTAATTATTGGGAATATTATCTAGGTTCTTTAATCCAGTTCATGTTAGTGCTGGGAATTTGGGATATCAGCTTCTCATTCTCTGCCTTTCTATAACCCCATGACCTCAGGATAGTTACATACCATCTCTGGTTTCCTCCTCTGTGAAATAGGTTTAGACTCTTTTTTGCATACTATATTATCAAGAAGCAATAATGAAAGTACAACATTAAATTCATATCATATAGTTAATATAGCACTAAAACTGATGAATAAAAGAATAGACCGTTCAGATGAATGTGAAAAATTTAAAGAAATCCTACGCACAGGATAAAAGAAGTCTACCTCTATGTCCTTAAGAAGTTGCCCTCATTCTCTCTTTTGTTGTATGTTAGGTGCTATTAGGTTTCGTAGATTACCCCAGCACCCCCACTCATACTCAGCCAGTCCGTCCTGGCCTCAGCACCAGGTTTGGTATCAGCCAATTCATGGGCTGACAACGACCTTCAACACACCTTAACTATGGAAAGCTGAGAAGAGTTAACCAGATTTCTTCCATGGGAATTTGGATTGTGAACCATCAGAGGAAAAACTGGTTAGTACTAAAAGCTGAAGCTGAAAAGATGGATAGAAATAGAAGCCATAAGCCCAAGGGAGCAATGAGAGCTCCCGATAAGGAGGGAGACACTGAGAGAGAAACAGAGAGAATAAAAGACCAGTTCCCAAAGCTCTCGGCTCCTGATGGCTTGCTGGCCAGTTCTTGGGTGAGAACCTTGACTTAAAAGGGCCTAACTGAAACCAGTAGCTTCTGAAAAGTGGAACATACACGGAGAGAGGTTAGTGTCAGCCGTGAACAGCAAACAGCCAGCATACTTGAAAACACTGGTGATGTGCAGAAGTCTGTGTCTACAGTTCAGAAAAACATTCTCAAGAATGTGATGATGAATGATAGGCACTTTCTTCCCCTGAGTGACGAAAACTTTTTGGAATTGCAAAAACAGTTTCTAGTCAACACATTATCAAAACATTTATGGTATGTTGCTAATGTTAACATCCTAACTAATCTGTGTCTTTCTTCTTTTCTACTGATAAGGAAAGATGACAGAAAAAAACATCTTAAAGTATACTGTGTGGGACATTAAATAACAGACAGACGAGATTCTGGAATTTTACTGAGAGCATGTTGTGCATATTTTAATTGAACAAAAGGAAAGGTTGATATTATCAGGAAACACAGCAGTTGTGAAAGGAAAAAAGTTTTGGCTACACAAATAGCATTTTTTTTTTAAATTTAAGTTCTAGGGTACATGTGCACAACGTGCAGGTTTGTTACATATGTATACATGTGCCATGTTGGTGTGCTGCACCCATTAACTCGGTGTTTGGTTTTCTGTTCTATGAGTAGTTTGCTTAGGAATGGATGGTTTCCAGGGCGCGTCCATTGCTACCAAAAACAAAACTTCATCCTATGCCTGCTATTTAGTATCCAATTTGTAATGTGCCAATTTCTTAATCCAATTCTGGTCGACTTGGATGGACATTTTGGTGATCCAAGTCTTGCTATTGGTATAGTGCTGCAAAAACATACGTGTGCATGCTGTCTTTATAGCAGCATGATTTATAATCCCTTTGTAAGTATACCCATAATGAGATGTTCCTGGGTCAAATGGGTATTTCTAAGTTCTAGGATCCTTGAGGAATCTCCACACTGTCTTCCACAATGGTTGAAATCTAGTTTTAAGTCCACCAACAGTGTAAAGTGTTTCCCTCTTCTCTCACGCTCCTCTCCAGCACCTGTTGTTTCCTGATCTTTTTAATGATTGCCATTCAACTGTGGTGAGATGGTATCTCGATTGTGTTTTGATTTGCATTTCTCTTGATGGCATAGTGTGATTATGAGTATTTTTTCATGTGGTCTTGTTGGCTGTATGAAGGTCTTCTTTTGGAGAGTAGGTCCTGGTTCATATCCTCTTGCCACTTTGTTGATGGGATTTTTTTGTTTTTCTCATAAATTTGTTGGTGATCTTTGTGTAGGTGTCTCGGATATTAAGCCCTTGTCAGATGAGTAGAGTACAAATAGTATCTCTTTAGCTAAAG